CCCACGCCCCCCCCCCCTGCGCCCGTTCAAGCCGCGAGCCATATGGGTTGCGGCAGTCCTTTCCCCTGTGCGCTACCTGCCAGCGCAATCTGGTTTCATTTGCAGGATCGCAAGTGACATGATGGGGCGCCGCGCGCGCCCGCGACGCGGCGTGCTTCAATGCATGGGGAGGGGCATGCTTCAATGCAACGGGTGGCGCCGCGCCCGCCGCGGGCCGCGCCAGCTCGGGCACAGCGGTCGTGACTCCGCTCACCCTGCTGCACAGAAGCGCGTGCGGCCGCGTCTCCTCGACCCTCAGATCCGTAGCGCCCGCCCGAAGGCGGCAGCCTGTCGCGCCCGCGCCGCGACCCCCGGCCTGCTCTGCCCAGCAAGGCTGCCCCGGTTGCTCTCTGCGCCGCGGCGCGCCAACAAACGAACGAGGCTGGCCCGCGGCTCTTCGCCAAACTACGTGCACCCGAGGTGCCGCCATGCCCGGCTATCAAGGCAATAACGCCGGCGCTGGCCCCGCGCCGCATGCCACTGCCCTGGCAGGCAGTGGGCGGCGGCCTGGCCCGCCTTCGGCGCTGCACTTCAACGGCGGCCTCGGCGCCTGCTGCAAGCTCGCCTTGCCCGGGCTGCCAGCTTGCTGATTAGAGCCGCCCTCCTTCCTTTTTGATAGGTGCATCTGCGAGGGACACTGCGGGTGACACACTGCGGGTGACACACTGTGGGCGTCCCTGCGTGCTTGCGCGCGCTTTGTGAATAAGGGAGCCGCGCGTCGCGCGAGCGCGCAGCCGGCGCGCGTGAGCGGCGATGAAACGGCACAGCCTCCCGGGCATTCGGGGTGTCGTGACGGCATTGCCCACCTGCTTCTATATCCGGATTTCCAATCGGCATGTTCGCTGCACGCATTTGTGCCCGTATCAGCGCCCGCCTGTTGGGGCGCACACAGCATTCACTACCCGTCATGGGCGGCCGCCCGCCGCTCGCACTCTGTAGATGCGTTCGCGTCATCCCCCTCCTCGCATTGCAGCAGCGTCCCCGGGCCCGTCACCCGCCACGACGCCGTTCGCCGGCGGGCCGCAGCGGGCCCGATGTGTACTACTGCGTCCCCTTACTAATCATTGTAGCCCTTGCCAACACTCTTGGCGCACTCTGCACACAGTTTTTGCGCCATCCCAAGCCTGACGGGCTGCACCGCTGCACTCGACTGGCCGAGGGCCTATCCCCTAAACCCACACATCCCAAGCTGCTCGCGCTCCGCCGCAGCCAGCGACAGCCCCCACGACACCCTTCAGTGCCACGGCCTCATATCCTCTTTCGAGCGCAGCGCCGCGGCCGCGCGGCCCGGCGCTGCTTGCACACCAGTTTGTTCCGGCGTCGGCGTAATGGCAGGCAAGCCTCGTAGGCGACAGGCGCACGCATTCAAGATCCCTCATGCGCAGACCCACCTCTCGTGCGTGCATCTGCCGCCTGTCCAGAGGATAGCAAGTTGGAGCCCCCTTTTCGTTCCTCAGGCCTGCCTGCTTTGCACCAGCACTGCCATTAGCATGGCCCCAAACCAGTCACTGGACCGCTGACGGCTGGATGAGGGCAGCTGCCACTTGTAGCAGCTACAACATCACGGCCCCCCTGCTTGGGTTACACCACCTCCCTCCACCCACCCGAGCCGCGCTGTATCACCACGCCCACACCCTTCCATTCCGTCGTTTTGGAGCGACCTGTGATCACTACTTCTCACGGCAATGGCTTTTCTCGGCAATCCCCTTGGCCACTGCGTGCACCGACGCCGGTTTGGCGATGGCTTTCCCTCTCAAACCCCCCGTGCCGCTTCCCAGCACACGCCGCCGCTCCTATCAAAATGTTGGCACGCGCACCCTCACTGCAGCAGGCGCGCCCCACTCCCTGAAACCTCCCCGCTCTGCGCGCTGCTGCAGAGCGCTCACAAGCCTTGTGCGGATACTGTCGTGGGCGCCTGTGATCGGCCAGCTGTTATCGTTTTGTACGCACAAGCCTGCTTCCTCCGCACGAATTCCGCGAGCGGCGCCGCCGCTGGTGCACGGCAGCTCGCAGAGGCGCGCCGCCACCTGTCGTCTGGCCCCGCCGGCCACTCGCATCTGTTTTCCGGTAGCGAACTCTTGTGAGGAGCATGGTCTACGCCCTCGTCTCGTTTTTGCATGTTGATTCAATGTGTCGTGAGGCAGGGCCTACGCATGACCACACTCGTGCTGCGCCGCCTTCACGGCCGGATGTGCTGAATCCGGGCGCGCCGCCGATCCCGTTTGCTGAATGACACCAAATTGTGCGTCTTGGCATTTGCAACTCGTTGCCTCCGTCGCGCTGGCCCGCACACCAGCTCTTGCAAGCCACATTTCGCTGCGCAGCCGAAATCCCACACCACGCAGGCGCCCAAGCGCTATGCATGCATGACTTGCGAGCCCCCGCTCTTGGGCCACGGGGTGGCGCCCGCGTGGCGCTCGTGCACCTTGGCTTTCTCCCTCACATGCTTTTGGCTCCTGATTAGGTTTTGATGTGCAAGACGCTTGAGACACACACACCACAAACCACAACACAGGCACGCAGTGGACGCATGCCCAGGCCACCTGGGTCAGCACCCTGTCACCGCTACCAACACCTGCTGTGGCGCACGCGGCCGCGCTCGCGGGCCGCGCGGCGCTGCTGCCCGTGCATGCGGCCGCCAAGGAAGGGCGATCACGGGCTGTATCAACAGTGCTGCACTCTATCAAACCACTGCATGTGCACACTGCTCAGACCTGCATGGCGCCAAGGTGATCTGTGTTTCCATCCGTTGCAAATCTGTTGAGGCGGCCCCATCCTCCGACAACCCCGCATCTGCGCCCGTGACTCGCGGCCGCGCCCCTGTCACCGACCCACCACGGATGGGAGCCGTCCTAAGCACACCCTTGCCCGGCCTGGTTCGCACGCCCAAACGGGCATTAGGCCCAATGGGCGGCGCTGCTTGTGGCGAGTGTTGCATGCTGGAAGCATACCCTGAGTCGCACGACACGAGATGGTTGCGCGGGCCTCATGTGATCCGCACAGTGTAAACTACCTGCTCCTCAGCTCCCCTCAGAACAAGCCCGCTTGGCTTTATCACTTTTCCAAATCACGCTGCTGTTCAACATGGGTGGCCAAAGGATTCTTTCAGCCAAAAAAGTAAGACAGGCGCAGCTGCGGATGTACAGATTCCAAGCTCGGGTTGAGGTTGAGGGCTGTCGATGACCACCATCCAGCACGGCTGTTGATGACCATCTCTGGGTTAAATTGGAGAGCTCACGGCTGGGCATCACGGATTAAGGCGCAGGGTTCAATCAAGGCTGGGGACAACCGATTCTGTCTCAGCCTTGAAAGGGAAGAGGCCTGCTGACGGTCTGTTGGCGCCTCTGCCGCTTATGCCGTCCCAACCGCGCACCCACCACCCCGTTGCCGTGTACAGTGCACCTCCAATGCAGCATATAATTATATGTTGCCAAGCTTGACTCCTGGGGAGCGAAAGCACACGGACATGTGATAGTTGCCTCCAGAAGGTACGGGAGCACTGCTGCTTGCCAGCACACGCCCTTACCCCGGTGCTCCTCTACTGCCATGCCCTGCCCTGCAGCGGGCAGCGCACACACCGGGCAGAAACGCGGTGGGTCGCCGGGATGGTGGCACGCACCGATGTACGCGATGACGACACCAGCAGACTTGCAGAGGTTTGAAGAGCGCAACAGCAGTGCGGCTGCAAACACACAACTCGCACAGCGGCGCGGCTGGCGCCGCGTCAGGCCGGCACCCGTGGTGACCGCATGCCCGCCCTCATCGGCCCCACGGCCCATCCGCCCTCCGCATCTGAGCCGGTGGCGCGCCCGCTCGCCCCCTGCGCCTGCCCGCCCCGCGGCGGCGGCGATGCTGAGGAGGCGTCCACCGCCGCCGCGGGCCCGGTGGCGCCGCCGGACGGCGGCGCCGGGCAGCCGCCCCTAGGGGGAGTCCCGGGGCTGCGGCTCCCCTGCAGCCACTCCTGACCTGGCCCAGTCCGGTCCACCCCCAAGGCGGCAGCAGCCTCCGCCCCGTGCTGCGGCCAGGCGCTCGCGCTGCCCACGTGCGGCCCGTGCGGCTCCCCAGGCCAGCCGCCGGCGTCGCCTGCAAATGCGCCACTCTCCCCAAACGTGCGTCGAGCTGCAAAGCTGCCGCCGCCGCCTCCGCCGCGGCCAAAGGTTTGGGTGCGGGTGACTGTTCTATAGGAGACGCTGGGGCTGCCGCCACTAGAGAAGCGGCTGTGGCTGGCCCGCAGCCTGCAGGCGAGTGGGCGGGCGGGCGGACAGGCGGGCGGGAGTGGGATTGACAGATGTGGCGTGTGGGGGCGTGGGCTTCAAGGTGGGCGGCGCGTGGGGGGGGGGCCCTGAGGAGGAAGGGCGGGCGATTCAGCAGGGGTGCTGCCACTGGCTTTGGTGCACACCAGATGACGGCCAGGCATCTGATCCAAATTTTAAACGCACCGCCGCGACAGCTCGTGCCCGCAGACGATGTCGCTGATGTGGCGCGACAGCTGGCTGCCCGCCAGCAGGCGCTCCTCTGATCTGATGGCGTCCTCGTCCACAGTGATGCGCAGGCGGCCAGGGTCTGGGGTTTTGGGTGGTGGTTTGGAGGTGTTGGGGGCAGTTGCCTGGGGTGTCGTTGCGGCCTGCAGCACATGGAGCCAACGCAGGGCCTCAACCTAGCCCTGCTCACGGCGCGAGCATTGCGGCGCAAAACCTCCTGCTGGAAGTTTTGTTTGGCGCTTCTGAGCCGCGCGGACCCCTCCCTACCTGGGTCTTCAAGGGGCTCCGGCCCCCACCCCTGCGGCGAGACGCGGGCCTGCGGCGGCTGCGGCTGCGCCTGCGGCTGCTGCGGCGGCGGCGACCGCGCGCGGC